GTGACGCAGAATATGCACTTGTGCTCAAAAATATTTATATCTCCCTTTCTAATGTAACCTGTTCTGGAATCCACAAAGAGGTGTGGGGTTTAGTAAGGTGTCACAACCGATGCACATGTAATATCAAAAAGATAATTTAATCAACATATAGTTTAACCTGTTCTGGCAAGAACTAGAAAACCAGCCAGCGTTTAATTTCCATGGCAACTTGTGAAAATATCCCCCATTTTCGATTATAGTAAGTATTGGTGAATCTAGGTTGTATCTCAACCGACTTGATCAGTGGCAACAAATCTACTAGTTTTATAACCATATCTATCCTAGGTAACGTATCATGTGTCTTAGAAAACATGTAAATTGATATTCCAATTTCTTCACAGAAATTATAAAAAGGAGTGACTTCAGTGGAGCCTTGGTACCTAGTTACAAGGAATTTTTTTTTTCCAGAATAAGTTTTTATTTGTGTCATTTCACATACAATTCCATAAATTACAGAATGATATCATTAACCTCTACATATATGGCTATTTCATGTCTAAAATTTCTTAATTTATTCTTAATTACAGGTGAAAAATATATCATAACAGATGAAAAATACTAGTACTTGTGACTAAATAATAAACCAACCTTTCACCATTACTTGTTTAGCCATAAAGAGAGAGGGCAAAGAGCATTATACTGTCTGAAATGCCACTCAATTACGGCCCCCTACCTTTTCTCTTCCCCTGTTTATTCATAAAAAAAAACAAAAAAACAAAAACAAAACGACAACAAAAAAAAACAAAAAAAAAGAAATTGCACAAGAAAGGGAAAAGAGGAAAGATGCTATTCCTAATTTTTTCTCTTTTTTTTAGAATTTATCAAGTGACACATTCATATAATTATTAAAATCCCCCATCACTATAATAGGAATAGGTAATTTGTCCTTAACAAAAGTTATCATTTTCCGGAGGACCTCATTAGAATGAGAAGGAGGAACGTTTACGAACACACATTCCAATTCATAAATTCTACAGTGCAAAAACACATATCTACCCTCTTTGTCGCAGAGGACTTGTAAACAGGAGAAATCTATACCTTTTTATAGACCAATACTTAAACCCCTCTGGAATATGCAGAATAGCAGGCACGGCTGTATATTGCATACATTTACACTTGAACCACCTCACATTATCACCCACAATATGAGCTTCTTGCAAACATATTACTGAATGCTTGTGGGTCATAATATAGGAGAATACTGCACACCGCTTCATTTTATTCCCCAAGCCCCTGACATTCCAAAATATTGTTTACATTTTTTGATTATTCATATATAGTTACCATCTCTAAAGTTACCTCTTACTAAGGTAGGATTATTGTCCATGCTAGGCCTATACCTCTACCCACACTAAGTCCAGTAGCATTTTTTTTTGATCCTGTGCAATCCAAAAACTCTAAAACAATACAATACTACTAGAAAAATCTATTCCCAAAGATAGACTCCACTCAGGAACTAAGCAAGGAGCTAAAGACAAACTCAACAGATCACAGTGTATTATTTTCAATATTTAACATTAAGTGTCCTCTGCCATCAAATGATATATATATGTCTTCAGAATTTCAAAGTTCTGTATGCCTATGAGGATATTTATCCAACCAGGCGAAGGCTGCTGTAGGTGGTTCAAAGAAGGTAGTCTCTCCATTATCAATTATGTGCAGTTTAGCAGGATAAAGCATAGAGTATTGTATTTTTAATTGTCGCAATTGCTTTTTCACCTCCTGAAATAGAGCCCTTCTTTTGAACTTCATGTGAAAAGTCTGGTGAAAACATCACTCTGGACCCACCCATAGATATAGCTAACCGTTCACAAACTCTACAGAGGATCATTTCCTTGTCTCTGTAGTTAGAAACTTTAATCAGAAAAGTCCTTGGAGGATTTCATGGTAGTGGGGGACATACAGGGACTCTATGCGCTCGGCCAATGATAAACATACAATAGAGACAATGTTTCTATTATCCATTTGCCAATGAAGGCCACAGGGCTTGACCCCTCAATATGCTCAGGGATGCCCACCATTCTAATATTATGCCTTGATCTATTTCTCAGCCATTTTAAGATCAGTACGAATGGGGATACTTCTGCTTTCAAGTTTACTGATTCTGTCCGTTACTTCACTGACCCTTTCTCTTTTTTTGCATATCTTGTCTGAGGAAAGAAACATCTATTCGCATAGCTTGTATTTAATCAGACAAAGAGGCCAGAGATGCATTACAAGATTGTACTGCTGACATCACATCTTTAAGAGTAGGATCTTCAGGGGTATTGAAGTTCAGCACAGCTAACTGTCCTCCAGATATCAGCAGCACCCTCCCTGCACCCCCCTCTGAATCTAAGACATTGGCTTTAAACATTGACTTATCCCCCAAACTTTGCTGCATTTTATTTACTTGAGAGGGATCCATACCTGTTGATGTTCCTCTGGCATACCTCTCTAGCCGTGCCGCCACTTCTTTTTTGCTTTTCCTTGCTACTTTTAGAGGAAGCTCAGGGAGATTGTTTGGAACCACCACTGCTGCCCCCATCTTAAATGGTGTCTTTTTTTTCTTTGTCATTTATTTTGTTTATATAGCAGCTTTTATTGCTCACCACTTCATCCATATGTCGACCTACAGGCGGTGGCGGAAATGCTAGACTCCACTCCGCCACCGCTCTGATTTTTGTGCACGCTGTAGGGTCTGCTATCATCTGTCGCAGAGAGCCTCCGGGAGGAGAATAAAGGATGTGCTCCTTCCCGCACGCGCTCAAATTGCTCTCCCTGGCCGCCCTTTAGCATACAGGGTCCACGGGGAAAACATGTTGCCTGTTACAGAAGAGAAACCGCTGGAAGAGAACGCTGAATCTCCCTCACACGTGTCCACTCCCATCCGCTTCATGGTCACACACACCCCCTGCTTATTTTTAAGTTGAATGGATATTGGGTTGTATTTGTATGGACATGTTTGTGTATGCAGAGGCGGCTCTAGACTTTGTCAGGCCTTAGGCAAAACTCAAACATGAGGCCCCCCCCCTTACACCCATAATTAAAAAATGAAAATGAAAAATGAACTATATAACTCGCATATTATAAGACCGCAACTAGGAACTCGCAGCTCCTAGATCTAAGATTTTAATTTTTTAATGCACAGATTGCATTGGTCAGCAGGAAGTAACGCACAGATTGCATTGGTCAGCAGGAAGTAACGCACAGATTGCATTGGTCAGCAGGAAGTAACGCACAGATTGCATTGGTCAGCAGGAAGTAACGCACAGATTGCATCAATCAGATGGAGGTAACACAGATTGTAAGAAAGAGCTAAATGTATAAATATCATAATATATAGTGATTTAGTGTAGATCCCTGTCAGATTGCAACTGACTAAATCATATTATTGTGTCTATTGTATCCTCTATAAGCTGCTTTCAGGAAACAATTGACTGAAGGAATCCATACTGAGGGCATGGTTAATAACACACAAATCAATTACTCAATATACAGTAAAACATGCTGGACATGACATCACTATTAGGTTTTCCAGTGTAGACAATACCTTCCTTGCCCTCCAGTGCCAGCTTCTCCTTGTCTCCTTCAGAGTCCTGTGCCACTGCTGGCTAGCTGCAGGGGCGGCGGCATGAGTGGAGCCTCTATGCATGTCCCATCACTCCAGACGGGCTCTCTCCTCTCTCTCCCTCTGCAGGGGCTGCGGCCTGGACGGCAAGAAATGGCAAGTGGCGTTCCATCAGTACTAGAGGGAAGCCGCGGTCCTTCAGGCAGTGCCCAAATACTCAGTCCGCCCCTGGGAGATGGCAGCAATTTCTCTGGATCCACTACTGTCAGATGAGGTAAAGCTGTAGAGGCGAGTTAGGCAGCTGCGAGGCCCTCCGTGAGCGCGAGGCCTTAGGCGACCGCCTAACTCGCCTAATTAGAGAGCCGCCTCTGTGTGTATGGAATCTGTTTTGTGGGTGCAACTTAAAAGCCAGAATTTGTGTCGATTTAATGCAAAGTCAAAAATCCTGTTGTTTCTGTGCTTTTAACCTGTGATTTTTTTTATGTTGGTGACAGGATTGCTTTAGGTGTGGCCATTAGTATATTCCACACATTTTAAAGAACTGCTAGATTTTTGTTTATTAGCCCTTGCAGTGAGGCTTCCCCTGCACTACAAGGGTTAAGTGCTAGTTTGTGTCTAGGTGCTAAAATAACAAAGCTCTACTCACCCAAGGCTCAAAGCTGGCCTGTCATCTCCTCCGCAGCACGTTGGAATGTTCCTCAGCGTCCTCACATCTATGCACAGTGTATAGACATGATGATTTACTGGACCTTAGACTGCTGCAGAGTAGGGGGGAGAGACATTCCAGGGACCAGTCTTAAGAAGTGGGTGAGTATATCTTCTTTTTTTTTTACCTAGCCACAAACAGGCAGCTAGCCTCACTGCAAGGATTAATAAAAATAAATTCCTGGAGTTCTGCTTTAAAGACAAAGCTATACTGGCTGAACAATTTTTAGTGCCTAAATTGATTACTTAATGTTTAACCCTATGAATTTATAATGCAGTTTGAGACATTTAAATAATGGATTTTAAAAGTATTTATCATTTTTCTCCTCCCCACCCCCCCCTCCCCCC